GGAAGCTGCAGTGGATTCTCACATCCATAGGCAGGCGACATAGCAGCGGGGCGCAGGGGTTAATTCCTGACAGGATGAGAGGGGACTGGCTCTTCATTTTGATCATTATGGACTTCTGCATTAATTTTGAGTTTTAAAATACTGCACTAAGCTAGTATTTATTTCAAGACAGGCATGGTGGCACCTGTTGCACCCCCAGCACTTTGGGAGGCTGACACAAAGGGGATTCTTGACTGACTGAACGCAGTCCTGCTGACTTGAACCACCAGGGGTACACACAGGACTGTCCCACTGCATGGCTTGTACCCTGGTGGTACTAATAGACCAGTTATTTTACTAACAAAATTAATATAAAGTGTCTCAAAGGACCAGAGAGTTGGTTAAAATTGAATAATTTCTGCCCAAATATAAATATTAATATTACTAAAATTATTACAATAATAAAAAATTTATTTCATTAAAAGAAATTTTTATATTCATGAATAATTTATCAACAATCCTCTAAATTTCAATATGGAAATCTTACAAGTACCCCATTGCTGCTCTATGTAATATATGTTCACAAAGGTGGTACCACAAATTAGCTGCATTACAATTTTTTACACCGTATTAATCTCTTCCTTGGGGAATTGTAATATGATGAGATCTGACCTGCATGAACAATACCTTTCTTTGCATTACTGTAACCAAAGATCCCCTGAGAAGCGGATTAAACCGCCCGATGCATGTGCCACAGTGGTTCAGGTCGGCAGGACTGAAACAGTTCAAATCAGAGCCACCTGGCAGTGGGACGTACAAATTACGCCCTCTCCATGAATGTGTCAACGAGACCCTGGCTCAGAATAAAGGAGGAGGGGCTGGGAATGTAACTCGAAGGTAGAGTATCTCCTGGGCTTGAGCCCCAGTACCACAAAAATATTTGTCTCAGCAAGTCTGTGAAATGACATTCAGCATCACTAATCACTGGGGAAATGGAAAGTACAGCAATCCGTCATTTTATCACCATTGGGATGGCATTCTCAAAATACAGAAAATAATGCATGTTGGGTACTTATTTTTTTCTCATTGCTGTAGCAAAATACACAACATCCAAAATGAAGGCAGGAAAGGTTTATTTAACACACAGTTTGTGGAGGTTTTAGTCCACACTCAGCTAGCTCCAAGGCAGCGTGGCACAGGGGCAACACTACAGGTTGGCAGAAGACAGTAAAAGCAACAGGAGCAAAATGGGGAGGGCAAACCTCTTCTCCCTTATGCTGTGAGCAGGCCACACCGCCCCAGGGCAGGTGCAGCACTCACACCATCTCTGGGCCCGCTGCTCTTGCACAAGATGAGGATGTTTACAAAGTGGGGCCTCTGGCTCCCTACTGAGTTACTAAGTGAAACTTCTAAACTTCTCAAGTTGACACAATGAATCAACCATTACGGTCAGCAAGGGTGTGAAACAACTGTACACTGTTCATGGAAATGTAAAATAGTGTGGCCACTATGGGACATGGTGGTTCCTCAAAAACACAGAAATACAATCACCATACACGATCTCTCCCACTTAGGGGTATACACCCAAAATAACAGAAATCAAGGTCTCAGAAAGATACTTGTCTAGCCAGGATCACAGTAGAATTATTCACAATAGCCAACTGGTGGAAGGAACACAAGTGTCCCCCAGCAGATGAATGTTACATAAAACGTGGGGTATACATAATGTATAATATTACAGAAGGGAAATTCTGATGCATGCTATAAGTCAGCCCTGAGGACAGCGCCAGGTGAAATACGCTAGTCACAGAAAGACACATGCCCTATGGTGCCACTTATTATGGGGCACTTAGCGTAGCCACATTCAAAGGTTCAGAATGGTGGTTATGTACTGGGGGAGGGCAGGTAGGGCTCTATGATTTGAATGTATGGGTCCCCCCAATTCAAATTGATACCTAATAACTGATAGGATGATACTCAGAGGAGAGACCTTTGGAGAAATGATTAATGATAAGGGTAGGGATTCATGCTTGTTAGGTCTAGATCTAGAATATCTCTGTGTTGAGAGGAGGGGCTTTGGAAGGTGACTGGGTTATTCATCACTGAATTAACCCACTGATGAGTTCATAACTGAAGGCGTTGTTAGAAACGAGGGCCCCTTGGAAGAAGGTGTGGCATGGAAGAGTCTGTTACTGTGCTTGTTTCCTTTCTCTTTCTGGTTGCCATGGAGTTTTCCTCCACCATATCATTTCTACCTGGGAGCTGTAACCAAGGACTAAACCCTCTGAAATCGTAAGTCAAGGTAACCCTCTTTTCTTTAAAGGTGTATAGAGCAGGCATTTTGTCCCAACAGTGGGAAAGTGGCTGATGCAGTGATCTTACCAAAGAGGTTGAGGGAGTGCCCAGTTTGCCCTATTCAGCCCTTCCATCCCTTCTGCCTTGTAACAAGATAACATTTGTCCTCCACAAAGGACACGGCAACAAGGCCCTGTCTCAGAAGCAGAAACTGGATCCTCACCAGACAGTGAGTCATCCAGAGTCTTGGTCTTGGACTTCCTAGTCTCCATAACTGTGAGAAATACATTTCCGGCCCTTACACCCTTTGTTACAACAGCACAAGAAGACCAGGACATTGGAAGCCATCACTGAACAGATACTTTCAGTCTGGAGAGACGAGAGTTCTAGGGATGAACCAAGGTGCAGGCTGAACAATAGTGTGAATATAGTTAATGCTACTGAGCATACACTAGAAAACAGTTAAGATGTTTGATGTTCTAAATATGTCACTACAATTTAAAACTATTCTCTACCATGACGGTAGGGTTGTTTTGGGTTTTTGCATTGGCAGGGAGCCCAACTGCATGAGTAAATCCTACTCTGAAAACTGATTATCCAGAGTGCAAAAAAGTCAATGGCAGGGAATTTCTTTCAGGTTCCAAGTGTGTTCTCTAGATAGTGGTTCTCCAACTACTCGCTTGATAGTTTCTGTATTCTATATAACAGGAGGTAAAATTATCTCCTAGGGAATCATGAGAGAGTGACCTGAGAAATGCGCAGTGGTAAATGATTATATGGTAATTCAGAGAGGAAACCAATCAGGAAAAGGTTCAAGCACTGCCTCTAAAGCCTAGGTAAAGTTGGAAACTACATATTTTCCAAACTAAAACAGTCTGTCAAAGATTTCCGGGCAGTTTTTGAGTGGAAAATGCAGGCTTCAAAATGTTGGCATTTCTGGGACATTGTGATGGATTGAGGAGACAAGATTGCATATTTAGGATTTGACGGCCCCTTTCCCTCCCGCCCCACTCAGGACATGTGATCACTGAAATGGATTTAGAATAGCAAGCCACAGGGAACATTTTATTCTATGAAAAATATTGTCTGTAATTTAATTTGTATACTTCCCAGCGCTGGAAAGATGGTAGTGGTGAAAATGTTAGCTCTGTGGTACATGTTTTCTTTTATCACTCAATTACCAAGTGATATGATTTGAATGCATCCCTCAAAATTCATGTTTTGGAAACTTAATCACCAATTCAAAAATATTAGAAGGCAGGCCCGGTAGGTGATAGTTAGGTCATCAGGGCTCTGCTCTCGCAAAGGGATTACTGTCATTATCACAGATGTGGCTTGGTTTTTGAGAGTGGACTTGTTGCAAGTTCAGCCTTCTCTTTCCCCCTCACTTTTACTCTGCCCTTCTAGTGCCCTGCATGGTTGGCATAGCATGAAGGCCACTGCCCAATGGTTAGCACCATCCTTCATTCTCCCCAGCCTCCAGAACTATGAGTCAAATAGATCTCTGTTCCTTGTAAATTACTCAGTCTTGTGCATTCTGTTACAGCATCAGAAAGCAGACTAACAACCCATGGAACACAGAGGATGAAGTTCATCCCTGTTTGCAAGCCTTGGGATCTGGTGACACCGTGAATTCTTCATCCTGATCAAATCATTGTCCCTTAGGCTTAATCTTGTAAATCACTTTCAATCGGCATGGCGTGCATCCTCAGTTAATTTTTTCTTAAATTGCCATCAACCTGGCTTATCATTTGGCATCTTCTCAAATTCTCTTGAGACCTCCAAGGTCTCAAAGAATTGATCCAAAGGGATCAATCTGATCACCACTAGAGTAGCGATCCAACAAGCTCTACTAGATCTTCTCCCTTGCTCTGCTCTGGGCTACTAAGAATTGAATTCTGCAAAATCTGCATGTCCTGGCCCAGCCCTTACCCATAATCCCCATCTGACAGCCTGGCTGATAATTCAACTAACTGCCTCCTACTTACAGTCCCAGCATCCTTCTCCTATGAGCATTTGCAACATCACTACACCAACTGAAGAAGCTTTCCTCAACTGCATGTTGCAGCATCGTCCCATTCCTCAGAGTAGTCTTTGCCATACATTGAAGCTAGAAATCTGTTTGATAACTGGAGCGTAGAGGCTCACTGAGGTGGGTGTTCTTGGACTTCTGATTAGTCACTGTGCCCAGCCATCTAATGACAGGACAGGAGCTTCCTTCTCTGTTTCTCTCAGCAATTTCTGTTCAGTGCCCTTGGCACTTTGCAGTCTTCAACCCAACAAAAACTCCCATGTCCTTGACTTTCTGACTAATCTTCCAATAGATCTTTTCTGAATCACAGCCTTGTGTCTCATTAATGCTGTGACCTCAGCCTCTAGATCACAATCTTTGAATGGAAAAAGTGATTCATTCCACTTCCATAAAGTTCCCTTACAGCCCAGGCCCTCCCAGGGGCAGGTCCATGTACTCAGGCCCAGAAACCTGAGAGCTGTGGTTCCTCCCACCGCAGCCTCAGTGAACCCAGGCACCTCGGGAATTTTCCTGGGTAAGAAACAGGCCTGAGTGCTCGGCTCACAAATTCACCACTAATATCCATTAGCCACGCCCTCTTGCCACCTAAATAATGCACAAGATGTGAGGCCTACCTAATACTTTATCTCCTGACTTACACAGATGTACTGAAATTATACGGATATAAGTCACATTATTCCTGGATTCCAGGTACCTGGAGGGAGTTTTCCTTTCAGTTTCCTTGAGTTCCAAGAAGTCACATAGTCATCGTCCTTCACGGAGAATGCAGGAAATTCTACACACTCTGTTCTCTCTGCAAATGCATGGAATCTGGAACAGGAAGGATGGTCAGCATTAGGCTGTGGAGAGGCATCTGCACATGCCTGCTATTTCTTCTAGGACTGTGAATTTCCTCTTTCTGCTGTTAACTGCGTTCTATACCCTTGCACTTGTCCCAGCTTTGTGAGAGGGTAATTAGCTCAACCAAAGAATAATTCATAATCCTAGGGAAATTATTCCCTATGTCTCTGTGAGTTCTTTTGTTCCATGGTTCCATCATGTCAACCCAGTTTTGATGAATCGGGAATCTAATGGGGAATCCCAAGAGTGACCATCAGTGTCACACGTTCAAGGCTGAAAGCTGGTGATTTGAGCTGTACTATGTTCCCTATTGCTGATCAGCTTCAGTCAACTTTCACTTAAAATACACACACACACACCAAGGATCCAAGTGAAAGCACTGATGACAGGAACTCTGATATGGACAGGTGTTTAAGGCCTGCCTGCTCCAAGAGTGGGCCAAGGAATAGCAGCACCCTACCTGGGTGCTGGTTGAGGACACACATCCCTAGACCCCCAAGCAGATCTGGAGAGTCAGAATATGAGCTTTTACAAGGTCCCCAGAGGTCCCATGTGCACACTAAAGCTTGTTGTGTGCTGGCATGGCACACAGGGTGATGGAGGAAGTCACGCTTTTGATATCCCTTCACTGGAACCTAGAAAGTTAGTGACAGCAGAACATTAGTTTCCCATGGGTGAAGAAGGTCTTGGGTAATGCTAAAAGTCCCACCAGCTGTCGTCAAGCATTCAATCAGAGAGGCTCCTGAGATGCTGCGTGGGTTGGACAGACAAATAAACAAATGCTACAAGAGGTCCAGGGGCCTCTGAGACCACGGAAAGTCTGTCCTAGTCCTCACGGTTTTCCTCAGAAAACGGTTTGATGGAAATGAGTCAACTTCGTCCATTTCCCTGCCCCAGGCCAGTGGATTCCCAGCCTGGTCATGCCAGCCTCCTAGAGGAGCTTCATCCAGGGCAGAAAGGGCCAGCACCTCCCTCCTGTGACCTCTTGGCAGGGCAAGGAGGAGGGATGGGCAAGGTCTGTCCTGGAAGGCCCCACAGCCTGAATGCCTGGGCTCTGGGTGCCCCGGATTTCTTATTGTCTGATTTGCTCTGGAATGAGAACAGGAGAACAGAAAAGGCGGCAGTTTCCTCCTGCTGATGACATACCCAGGCAGGAGCAGGCCACAGATGGAGCAGTTTCTGCTGAGTCCTTAGAATACAGCACTGGGGCTGGCACTGAGGGTTCCGCCCAAAACAGCCTTTGGTATGAAGCCATCAGAGTCCAGAGTCCATTATTTAGGTATGTGGAGGATCACTAGGCCTCCTACAAGCTAAGACGGCTGGGATTCACTGTTTCCAGTTGGATATTAACTGCTCTAGCAGGTTTCTCAGAGTGCTTCAGATGATCACAGGAAAGCACAAGCAAAGAGGTGCCCCTTCCGGGTGTCTTTCTCGCTCCTATAGTGAATAGGAGGCAGGGAGGCCCCTTTTGTGATTGGGGTGTTCGGGAACCCAGAATCAAGTCAAGCACCACTGTTAAAGGATTTCAAAGTGCTTTAAGAGCAGCTAGACCAGTGGGCCTCTGACTCTCTAATGGTCTATTACAAATGAAGATTCCTGACCTAAGTCAGACCCTAAAAGTCAGAATTCCTGGGCCTGTGGCCCTGGAATCCGCATTTCCATCAAGTTCCCTAAACAGTTCTTATGCAAAGCGGTGGGAAAAGATTGCACAGTCCCAGGCTCCCCTCTGCTAAGGGGATCACTCTGCAAAGTCACCCAGCTCCCCAGGCCACTATGATGAGCTCTTGAACTTGCAAGCAAATGCTGGGGCACACTCTGTATTAATTTCAGACAGGCTAACTTAGCAAAGGACTCAGCAAATCTCTTTGTAAACACAGAAGTAAGGATCTTCTCCCTCAGGGGACCTAACTTCACACACACACACACACACACAAGGAAGAGACATACATTCTTAAATGTGTTACTAGTCAGGTATGGTGAGGCCAAAGGATCAGATGGCTTCCTCTGAAAAGACAATCTGTCACTCTCAACCCCCGCTACGAACCGAACTGTATAACCACAATTGGAGATAGGCACTCTATAAGAAGATAATACAGGTTGCTAGAGTTCATAAGAATGGAGCTCTGATCTGATAAGCAATCTCGTAAGAAAAAGAAAAGATTCCAAAAAGTCACTATCCACCTATGTATCTATCTGTCATCATGTGAGGACACAGTAAGAAGTCAGCTATCTTTAAACCAGAAAGAAACCCTTTACTGAAAACCAAATTCGCCTTGATTTGAACTTCCTAGCTTCTACAGCATGAGAAGTGTATTTCTGTGTTTAAATCACCCAGTCAGTGGTATTTTGGTAAGGGAGACTGTTCTAGTTTGTACCTGAAATGTCCCCAAAGGTCCCTGTGTTAAAACTTTGGTCTCGGGGCTGGGGATTTAGCTCAGCAGCATAAGCGCCTGCCTTGCAAGCAGGCAGTCATGGGTTTGATCCTTCGTACCAATAAAAAGGAAAAAGACAAAAAAAAAAAAAACTTTGGTCTCCGGTTTAGCACTATTGAGAGATGGTGGAAGCTAATCCCGGCCGTTAAGAGGCGGGTCCTAATGGGAGGTCTTCAGGTCATTACAGTGTATCATTGAAAGGAACCCTGGGATTCCAGTTTTTTCCTCTTCTCTTTTGCTCTCTGGCCATGAGGTGAGTGTTTTGCTCCACTATGACCCAAAAGCAATAGGGCCAACTGTGAACTGAACTTTCCAAAACTGTAAGCAAAACAAGCCTGTACTCTTAGTAAATTGTCTACTCTAAGGAATTTGTTATAATAACAGGAAGTACACTAACACATAGTCCAAAAAGACTAAGAAAGTTCCCAGGAGAAGCCAGCACTCTGGCCCACACAGGACTGGTCAGGAGTCAGAAGGTTAAAGGTAAATAGTGGGTTAAGGCTGTATTGGGGTTTCCCTGGGAAGGACCAGGTGAGGCAAAGTAGCAGGTTTCGATTGGGCTGATTTGAGTAACTGCAGTGAAGTCTGGGGTGTAGAGCCATCTCCCTTTGTTGGGCCTGGCCCTAGAGTGATTAGGTCCTGAGTGGAAAACACAGGATTGAGAGTGGAGCACTGGATCAGTTAGTTTGCATATGACAGGGTCACCCCCAGATTGTCCTTCAGCATCTCTAGGAATTGGCTACCCCTGGGAAGGCAGTCTCCCCAGAGTCAGCAGGCCCCAAAATGTCAAAATATCAGAGTTACAGGAAGCAGAAAGGCATGATTAACAAGATAAAGCAATAAAGGGTACATAGAGACTAAAGACTGTATTGGAAAGAGGGAAAGAATATGGCAGCAGATTGGGTAAGAAGACCACACAAAACCCACGACCCTCTGAGCTCCTAGGCACCAGCTACCCAGCACGGCCACTCAGAAGCACATTTTCTGCCTACCTGCCGTGGGCCCTGGCACTCAGCTCCTTTAGGAAAGCTATGGTGCCTTCCCCTCTGGCGTTGAAGGACACCGTGTGAACCAGACATGGGATCTGCAAAGCCATCTCGAGAAGCAGCTCCTTGGATTCCTCGGAAACTTCGCCCACGACAAAGTAGTAAATAGATTCGGTCTGCAAAACAGAGGCACAGTGATTTAGCTCCCTATGAGTCCCACCCTTTCACCAGGCTCATCAGCAAGACACTTTCTACAAAACTGCTTCTTTATAAACAAAAGGCAAAAAGAATCACAGCACTGCTCAGTGTTTTGTGAGGCCTGGGAGGCAGTGTCAGCAAGTGAGATGTTTACGACCTGGTGCCAAGGAGGTCTTTAGCAGTGGACGCTGTCTCCAGTACTGTATGAGAAAAACACGGCCTGCAGAGTTGGAGAAAAGCATCCACTGGGCCCATGAATGCATCACTCAGGTTGGGAGCAGTTATTCTCACATTGAGGAACAAAGGAAGTCCTGGCACAGCCTGTGTTTACAGAAAGCCCCTTGGTCATTTCCCAAGGCAGCACCAGATCTCTGCAGCACAAACACATCCATCCCCAGTCAGTACAGCGGGCGGGAAGGCAGGCACAGCCTGCATGGGTTTCTTCTCACCAGGGAGGCACATGCCTCACCAGGGATAAGAGACTGTGCTGATTCTGTAAAGCTGGTTCTCATCCAGGTCTGTGCTCCCACGCCATCACACTAACCCATGTGCAGAAAGGGAGAATGAGAAATTCATTCAGTAGCTATACACGCACGAGCGCGCGCGCGCGCGCACACACACACACACACACACACACACACACACACGCGCGCACTGTAAGCAAGAGTTCTGGGAGATGCAGGAACCCACCTTGCCAGCTTAGAGACAATCCCCCAAAAGTGCTCCTTGCTTGATTCAGAAGAAGGAAAGCCCATAGGAGGGGGTTCTTTTGACAACTCCCCCCAACTCAGCGACACCAGTCATGCTGCCCTGTAGGACAGTGGACCTCGCCTCCCCCAGCCACTGAAGAGCTCTGTGGCCTGAGCCACATGATCTCCCTTGTGAAGAAGGAGATGCAGGTCGTTCTGCAAGACTGAGTTTTAAGGGGATGATTTACACTTAGGCCTGTATAAGGGGTGACCAGAAGATATGGTGAATGTTCACGTTAAAAAACAATCACTACCATAAAAGACACTGTGCCATTAACCCCTCTCCAGCTCCCCTTGCTTCACACTACCCATCCATTGCTCTTGCTACTTTCCGAAGCAGCTCTTAAAGTCCTCCTTTATCAGCGCCTTCGCAAGAGTTTTCCAGCTACATCTAGGCCCAAATTTAGCCCGGGGGCAGAGTCATGCTATCATAGGTACTAAAACGCCACATGTCCCAAGACAACGAGCAGTATCTCCCAGGGCCTGCGAGCTCCCGCATCCGGATGCCTCTTCCCCTCCGCTGCACACCAGGCTGCTTTGCTCTCGCGATAACCAAAGCATCTGAGATCCACGTGCAGAAATGTTTTCCTCCCAGGGTTTCATGAAACTGAAAGTCGCTGCAGCCGGCAATGAGTCAGGATTTCCTTTCCTTTACGGAAGGGCTGTGCCCTTATTTGCTATTCATTACCTTCATTACTCAGCTTGGAACTGTGTTTTCGGTCAACTTTTAGCTCCTGGGAAGTGCTTATGTGGCGGTCAGCCGCCCCCCCCACCCCCCCACCCCCGCACACAGCCTTTCAGCCTCTTGTTTCTGCTCCCCTCACAATGACACTGAGAAAAAGAGAAGGCAAATATGCCACCTATCCGGACTCCCCCCTCCCAACTGCCAAAATGCCCCCTAAAGCATAACGGCCTTCAGGTTATCTGCTCTTTGGAGTAATGAGCTAAAATAAAATTTTTACTGAATATTCAGAAAAGTTGTGTGGAGTGTGCACTGCTATCATATCATGCCCAGTCCACAGATGAAGAAACGGAGGCTCGGGTAGGTTAACTGACTTAGCCCTGGAGCTGGGAAACTCTAGTTGTCTGAGCCCTGAGCATCTGCCCTAGTTCTCAACCACCCTGCTGTGCCGGTTTGCAAGAAAACTGGTGACCTGTTAGTGAGGGATGAAAATCCCAGAACTGTGAGAGCATCAGACAGAAGGGAGCCGAGAGGGCCAAGGAAGCCTCTCCTGCTACTTCCAGGGCTCCCCCAGCACCAGCACCGCTGGACCAGCATGGGGTGCAGGAGCGTGCGGGGCTGAAAGGCCCCATTCCCGAGCGAATCTTCTTCCCTTGATGAGGACCTCTGCGCTCCTTGGGAGCAGAACCCTCTGCAGGTTCACACAAGAAGCCTCCTCTCCACTCCACTCTTCCCTGAATGCTGAGCTGGCTGGAATAAGACATGGGTTACACACAGCTAATAGAAAGTAAAAGTCAAAACCTCTCCCCACTTCAGAACACAGAAAATAGGGGAGCCTTCGTTTCCCTGGAAATGTCCGCATCTGTCTGGGCCGGTGGTTTTGTAGCTCCCCACAGCAACCTGTGTTCTGCCCAGCCAAGGGGTCCTTGCCATCTTCCAGCTGCAGCTTCGAGGCGGGGAGAATAAATAGACAGGAGGTGGCGGCTTCTCCACCAGCCGCTCCCAGTCAAAGCCTGTTCTCTCAGCCCCGAGGCCTCCAGGTATAAAAATCTCTGCTCTTGGAGGTGCAAACACGAATGTCAACCAGAACAGCAGCAAGAGGCAGAGCAAAGTTCTGTCTTGTTCATATGACGCTGAACGTTCCGTCTCCGGCCAACTCCAGACCTTGCAACTCAGCCCCAGGTCCTCCCTGTACCGGTGGCAGCTCTTGCCTGGTTTGGCCTGTTTTGATTTTCTGATTCCCTCCTTGGTGGTGACCGTTCCTCACCTATTGATCCAGGGTAAGATCCTGCCCATCACCCTTGACCAGTCTGGCCTCTCAGGCTGCCAGGTCCTTGTCCCCCTCTGCCAACCCCAGCAGAGTCCTACAACACTCAGCAAATTCACCATTCTGCTCCTATACAGACCACCTCCCTTCAATTCAAAACTGCCAAATCTGTGTTACAACTTGGAGATGGAACCCCTCAGCTCCATATCTAGCTCCTGAACTCAAGAATATCAACATTATTTCATTTCCATTCCTTCAGTTTTCAACAAACATAGACTTGTCAGACATTTATAGACTTGTTAGACATTAGAGACTCAAAAATGGAAATATGTGATGCCTGTCCAAACTGCTGCAAGAAAACAACCGAGGTGCCAGTTTCCTGAACTGATGGGTTCAGGTCTTTATCTTACAGTCCAGAGGTGTAGGCTCTTTATGAGATCACATAGATCACAGGATCCTAGGATCATGGCCTCAAACTAAACAGATGTGTGCCTGTCTGGTGGGTTGAAGAGAGGCTAAGAGAACAAAAACAGAAAGCCAGGCGTCCTGTAGGCAGATGTCCTTCTCCTGAAAGCAGACGCCCTCAGGTATCCTTCCTTGGCAGCCTAGAACCAGGGCTGTGGATAAACTGTCTTCTCCCTCCCAGTGACCAGAGTCCTCTATAAGGCTTCCAGGGCCTCCCTGCACACCACCCCTCCTCATAAAGGCCAAGGAGATTACTAACTTCTAAAAGATGTTTGTCCTGGAACCCAGAGGTTACTGCAAAGCAGAAAGCAGGCTCTGAGCTCACCTGGGCTCTGGGGACACCAATCCCTTCACCGGCCAAACCCTTCCTCAGTACCCCACTCCCAAGGGTACTCTTCCCATGTGCCAAGTCTTTTTCCATAGGATGTAACAGGAATTTATGCATCAGTGACACTCTTCATGCGATACTGTTGCAGCCATGATTAAGGAGGACCCCCCCTCACACACAGACTGCCTGGACTCCTCTCAGTACTCTGAGATACTCAATACTCCCTCTTTGGTCTTCTCTGTGACTGCAATGCCCAGTACAAGACGAGGCCAATGGCCTATTACTCACATGGGCTTGATACAAACATCAGACTGCTCTGCTAATTTATTTGATCCTCTCAGACGTTTGCAAATCCAAAGCAGGCTGTCATAGGCAGGAAACATCTAGATGTTTATATTTAATGCTCAAAAAGGTTAAACCTTAAGTCTTTTCTATTCCTAGAAAACTGTAGTCTCACAGGTGAATTTCAGACTCCCTAAGGACCAGAGGGGCACCAAGCAGAGGAGCAGGCCCTCATGGGAAACCATGGCCACACTCCGCCCCCCAAGACATGCACAAGCATGCCTTTTTTTTTTTTCCTCTTCTTATAAAACACAGAGGATGACATTTTTATATATGGGGCAGGAGCATGTGCTGGACTTTTCCTTGGGACCACCCACAGATAGAGGCTGTGGACAGGGAGACTCAGCTGTCTGCATACTCTACATTTCGGCATAGCTCTTCTCGGGAGCTTTGAGGTTGCACCTGATATCAGTGTTTGTGAGCTATCAGACTCCCTTGGAACTCCCCGACTCGTTCCTCAGTTAGAAGGCTGGAGATGGCTCCAGAGCAAGGAGAGGCACAATCCAGAGGGAACTAAAGGCGAACGGCGGGGCCCCGGGAGACCTGGCAGTCATAGCAGGTGATTGGGCTCAGCTGTGCTTCCCACAGCCAGATTCACAAGGGAAGAGCTCACACACTCACACACACACACACACACACACACACACAGAGGCACACATCCAGCCCTGGGAAATGTTCCATTTTTTGAATGCTTATTAAGGTGTCCAGACACTTGGAATTTGCAGATGTTGAAATAAACTTGAAGGGCCAAAGAACAAAATAGCTTGTATTTGGTTCTCCCTTAATGGAAACCATTTGTTCATCTGGCTTTGTGAGGAAATCAGCCTGCTTGGTGTTGATGAACACAGGCCTGGGAACAATCTTTCTAGGTGAGTGCATGGCCTCTTTGCCCAGGAAAGGACTTTTGAATGCAGCAGGTAACATTTGTATGTATCCCAAAAGCAAGCTGCCCAAACCGACCTGGAGGGTGGAGGCCGAGGGACCCCTTGTGCCCAGGGCACTGCCTCACCATGCTGCTGCCCTGCCCTGAACAGTGCCAGCACCAGTGCGATTCACAGAAGTGCACACAACTTAGTGGCTTCTGCCACGTAAACCTTTGTTTCCAAATGGTCTCTTCCATTGCATATGTCTGTGCATTAGCATTTAGAAATAGGTGGGCTCTGCGGCTGGGGTGCCCCTCACCTTGGAAAGCATGTGATAGACCCAGCTTGGAAGAGGGACTGGGAAAAAGTCAGACTGTGCATGCAGGGGAAGCCCTATTTCCTCACCCTCCAGGTTCTGGGAGTCTCCCCACTTTGTCTAATCCCTAGAAGAGACACTTTGGTTTCTCTAAGTGGCAGGAGGAGCGGGAGTGGAGTGATGTTACAGATTCAGGCGATGGCTTGAACTCCTGTTTCCTTGATACTCGGATATAAGTGGTACTCATCTCTCCCGGCATTGGTAATGCGGGGGAGTCTTCCCTGTATCCACAAATACTCCAGGAAAAGCCTAGCTGGGCTCAGGGGACAGAAATTTGGGAGCTACATTTTGTTTGGTCCAGCTCTGCTATCCCCCAAAACATTCTTTTGATCCCTACATAGGACCTGGAATCCATTTCTCAAACTGGATCCAAATCCAGTGGCAAATAGGATGACCGCTTATGGGGCTCCTCAAAGCCAATCAGCAGAAAAGCAATGTGGAGACACTGGGAGTTCAGGCCACATCTGAAGCCACTGTGGTGGCCTGGACCAGCCAAGGGTCACACTTACAGTTTCGTCTTTCCCAGCTTCCAGCAGGGCATCCAGTCGGCTCATCCCACTCACGGTGAGTGACTCAAAAGTCAGATTTCCAACCCAGCTGATGGCAGCAGCTATGGATTGTGGGGTCACAGGTGTGGCACGCTCCTTCCATTTCACAGGCACTTGAGAAACCCTGAAAGGAACCACATGGAGCAGTCAGCAGGCAGCGATCCAGGCTGCCACAGTGGGGTCAACCTTCAGGTTCAGAGCCAGGGGCAGAAAGCTGCCTGGCATCTTCAGCAAAGAGAGGGAAACACGGCAATCAAGGCTCCTGGTCCTCAGAAAGTTACTAACAAAAAGTGAGCTGCATGAGAGTGATCTGACTCATTCAGAAAAAGGGGCCTTCTGATCACACAGCATCCCTCCCAAGCAACACTGAAGCTGACTAGATAAAAGTGATGCTTACCTGAGAATTAAAACGAAACATTAACAAGTTCTTTAGAAATACTGACAGAAATCATTGTCATCAATAGGCAGGTTTCTATGAGACGTCTTCTACAAATAGCAAATTTATAAGGATTCACAATGCTGAGATTTTGCAAGCTGGTAACAGTTTTGCAGCTCTAAATTTGTATCTCTAGCTCTTTAAATGACATTGCTTTTTTTTTTTTTTTTTGCTCTGAAAGATTTCCATTGGTTACTTTTTGAGGATAAAAAAATGCTATTGCATTGATTTTAGCAGTGTTAATTTATAAATCTGGAGAAAATGTGGTCAAGCTTCTTAGTTTGAGCTGAGAAGTGATTAACTGCCAAGCCTCAAGAAGAGGAGGAGCCATTTGCATTTATCTGTGTTTATAATCCTAGCCCACCTCTAGAGGTAGAACTGACTCTTACTGTGTCCTCGACTGTAGTTTCTCTGGGTGAGAAATCTAGCAGAACGACACAGTGCTATAGTAAACATTCCTATGACAGGGCTGGGATATAGCTCAGCTGCAAAACTTCTGCCTGGCAAGCACAAGGTGCTGAGTTCGATTCCTGATTCCAAAATAATAATAATAACAATAATAATATACCTAGGACAGAAACAGGAATCTGGGGGGAAAAACAACAATAATAAACCATCATCCCCAAAGATGCTTTCTTTTAAGCTGAATGTAGTTGATTTAAAAAGGAAGAATAATTAGGTGGACCTCTACCCGCAGAAGATGTTCCCTCTCAGGGAGGTGTAACCACTGTTCCCTGTTCCCAATGAGAAGCCAGCAGGGAAGTCCAAATTCTCGTGACTCCAAGAATCCATAAATAATTGATTTGGGAGCCCTGAAATATGAGAAATATGACAGGCACCTGTTGGTCTGATTAAAGTAATCAGCTCAGAGAATGGGTCAACTTGAGTTGTAAATTCAGCCTGGGAAAACAGGATAAAGGCTTTGGCCTTTGAATTCATTATCCAAACTAAAACCTAAAAAAAGTGAAGAGATTTATGGCCTCATGTATTGAATATGAATATATAATTCATATTCTCATATTTTGACTGTCCTAGGCATTGAAAAACAAGAGTGTTTCTAAATCTGGTAATTCAAAAACTAAGATGCCCTCTGCAAAACAGATAAAACTTTCCTAAAATTTATTCACTGTGGGCTTTCTGCTACAATATTCAAGGAAATTCTAATACCTCCTCCTTCGTCACAGCTCTGAGTTAGCGATGCTACTTAACTCCAAATATGTATATGTCACTGAGATAAACGCTCCCTCTGGGAACTCACCATATGATATTGAACTTGGTTATGTGGGCCACCTGTTCCTGGAGGACCATTGTCAGAGCATCTTGGCACAAATCGAGCTCCCCCTCCAGAATGTCGCCCCAATCCAGCACTATAGTGACACACTGTTCCAAGATGATGCCAAAAATCTGCCGGCTTCTGCTGGTGAGCCAGTCCATCCGCCTCTTGTAACTCTCCACGGCTTGGGCTAAGTGTTCCACAAGCTGATGGATCAGTTCCGAGTTAGCTGTCAGCTTAAGGGAAACAAAAGTCAAAGTGAAAACACAAAAAGATGACCCGAAAGTAAGTCAGTAGAACCACAGTGCCACCATCAAGAATCATCCACGAAGAATCCTCCTGCACATGGCCCTCCAGTCCTGCGAGACCGGGGAGGAAGGGCTCGAGTTTTCCAGCTGAAAAATCTTTGGCTGGTTCCCTGCAGAAGAGGGGCCATGATTCATTCAAAATACAGCCCTCTGTTTTCTTTAATGTTTTTAAGATCATATTTTTATCTTTACAGATTCTCAGAAAATACCTAGGGGCACTTGTAAGAAGGGAAAGCGAGAGCAGTAAAGGCAGGGGAGACAAAGGAATCTGGCTGCAAAGATTGTGAGCCACAGTATTCCTGAAAGTGTTTCTAACCAGGCCAGCAGGCCCGGCTGCCTTTCTCTAAGGGATGGCAGCCTGGTTTCTCATCCTCCTGTTCATAACCTCTGTCCCAGTGTCCTCTGTCTCATAGACCAAGCCTGCCTGTGTCTGGGGGACCCTCAGGAGGTGACAGAAGACTTGTGGGCAATTTCTCCTATGCACAAATAAATCATCCTTCACAGAAGTCAGCCACAATGGTGCAGAGTTGCTCAGGGTATAGGGAAGTGGAAGATTAAAAAAAAAAAAAAAAAAGAGTGAAAAAAATTATATAAGGAGTTAAATTCTGGCACTTTTCACATTAATGTTAAAACTTCCCAGAACACCCTCAAATACCCAAATTAAGGAAAATGCGCTTTCTGAATGCACTGTACAATTCCGCATTTTCACGCCTGTTATTTCATGCCCTTGTTCCCCTCTGCGTCCTTCCCAGCTCATTTCTCAGCTTCTCCGCTGCAGCTTGGGTCCTTATAGCAGGACTCCTAACTCCCTCGCCAGCTTCCACAGCCTGTGCCACAACACAGGAAGCTCGAGGGACGGCTCGCAGGGATGTGGAGGTGGACTTTTGTGGCACAGAGATAGACGTTTTTAATAGCTAGGGAGGGATTTTAAATGAGGTTCAGGAAAAAAGTAGATTTAGCACACCAAACTCAAGAGATTCTCACTTAGTGTCAGGCATAGTTTAAAAAATAATTTAGATTTTAAAGAACACAGTCAGCCCTCCACACTCATGGGTTGGGCATTCTCAAGATTCAACAGACCTGGGATGGAAAATATTCAAAACCAAATTGCTTCTGTATTGAATGTGTACAGTTTTTCTCGTCATCATTCCCTGAACACAGTGTTACAGCTATTAAGTAGCATTTACATTGCATGAAGTATCACAAGTCACTTAGAGGGGATTTACAGCGCTCAGGAGGAGACGTGCAGGTTACATGTAAATACCACACCGCCTGGTATGAAGGACTAGAGCATTTGTAGAGTTTGGCATCAGATGAGGGTCCTGGAACCAACTGCTGTGGACCCCAAGGGATGACTACATTAGGAAGCAACAGACTGGAGGTGCATGCATGTGCCATGACATGAACCCACGGGTGTGCATCTCTGCGTCATGTGACAAGGCCTGCTATGTGTTGGGGGACAAGATCCACATGTTAAATTGCTGGGCACGGAGGACCCCAGGTGGATACACTTTTCCCCTCTCCTCTTCCACCTGCTTCTGTCAGATCATGGTAGCTTTGGCCTGGCCTTCATCTGGGTTCAGAGACTCCTGTCCTACTGCCTCCTGCCTCCTTATTTTTGAAGCAAAACAAAGTGTTAATGTGCAAAAGTTCTCATTCTGGTCAAAAGCATTCTGCGATAATTTTTGGCAGGTCAAAGGCATCTGTCGGCAGCTCCTTGGCCATGACTTGCATCACCCTGCCATTGCCCACAGGAAACCTTCAGCACGAACCTCCCATGCTCTGTGCCCTGCAGCCACCTCAGCACGGCGTCCCAGGACCTAGCTTCAAGGGAACCTCACTTACGTTGTACACACGGCCATCTTCTGCCCTGCAGAACCGCGGGAAGAGGCCGTCAGCGTACCGAGAAGCCACCGGTCTCCCCAGAGAAGTCACATAATCTGCATTTTGATGAAGAAAAACGACCAAGATGGGGGTATTAACAAAGCTTCTTATATGTTCTAAAATAATTTTTCTGACACCAATCCCAGTGTTGCTTTGCATTCTGTTCTAAATCATGAAGTATTGCCAGGTGCTATAATAAATATAACACTATGAGTGTAATCTTTTCATGCACAGATTAATAAAAAGGCAAGAACAGAGTTCATTTCCTGGTTCTTTTGTGCAGAATGGTTAAAGCAGAGGTAAAAAAAAAACAACACAGAAGTTGTGTTTAACTCATGAAAACTTTATTCAAGACTTGTGCTTGTCTTTCAGATGTTTATTTTATTTTTTATTTTATGGAAAAAGTAAAACAAAAGTTCATAACAAAATAATAGGAAAATGACAATAGCTGATACATTACATGTCGTTACCTTTGGAGCAGTTGCTCAGGGTACAGGATACAGGCATAAAAATCGCTCCAATCCGTATCAGCACAAACGTTCCTTTTTAATGAACTCAGAGACCTAATAGCGTAACTGACTTGAATTTTTCTCTTTTCCTTCGTGCCCTCTCCCCTCTCACCCATCTTACTTCCTTTGCTCTTTTGAACAGTTTCTTCCCATTTTACTGTATCTATTGCATATTTTTTAAAATTTTATTTTAAAGAGAAGAATAGATAACCAAACAATGAAATTGAGTGTCAGAACAGGGGAGCAAGGCAGTTTCAATGTCTGACACACTGCATGTCGGTGTCTTGTGTGTTATTCAGAGTACAGGACACAGGCATGACATCCTGTCTAAACAATATTAGCACAAAACATTCTTTTCAAGGAACAAGCAGAACAGCTGTAGAACTACCTTCCTATCTTGTATATACACATATTCTTCCTTGCACCCATTCTTCCTTTCCTGTATCACAGTTTGTCTTTTCTTTTGAACAGTTTCTTCCCAATTCACAATGTCTATTGTACGTTTTTTATTTTAAAGAAAAGAAACAAAAAATCAAGATGCAAACACACCTAAAAAGCAACACGAAAGTAAAACAACAACAACAAAACACAATAGCTATACAGGCTTTCAAAACAAGATGACAGGAATTTAACAGTGGTTGTTGTACTGCACATTATTATCTTCAAAATAGTTGCACAGGTTACCAGACACAGGAATAAAACAAAACAGTAAAACAGAACAAAACATTGGATTTTAAAAACAAGACAGAAGCAAATCCCCCACAGTTGCCACAGTGCACACTGTCATCCTCCAGGTAGATGCCCGGACCGCCAGCCCCACACCTGCAGAGTCAACCAAACAACCCAAGCATCCAGCTGTTCCCTTCACCTCAGCTGCTATCATCTCACTCAGAGTCCTCCCAGTCAGCCAGTTAATCACCTGGGTGGGGGTGGGGGGATGCTCTTCAGGCTTCCCAGCCCACGCACCAGCTGGCTCACGGAAGGTGAGCTTTGTCTTCTGTTGAGTCTCCTCCCAAGCCCCATTGTGGAGCCTGGTTCACCAGAACGTGTGCTTTGTCATCTATTGTACATTTTAGACTTTATTTACTCTTTCAGCTTTTCTTACAAGGGTTGACAATATGATGTTTACACATGTGAGTCTGATATTTACATGTGTGTCCAGTTTGTTTTACTTATAAATACAGTCTCAAGTTGCATCCATTTATCTACTAGAGTCTCAAATTTATCCTTCTTTATGGTCAAGTAGTATTCCATTGCGTAAAAAGACCACATCTTGGGGCTGGGGATTTAGCTCAGTGGCATAAGCGCTTGCCTTGCAAGCAGGCAGTCATGAGTTCGATTCCCGGTACCAATAAAAAGGAAAAAGACAAAAAAAAAAAAAAGACCACATCTTTTCTATCCATTCCTCAGTTGATGGGTATTTGGGTTGTTTCCAAGCTTTAGCTATTATAAATTGTGCTGCTATAAACATAGGTGCTGTGGTATGACATTCTAATTCTTCTGAGAAGATATCTAGGAGGAGAATAACTGGATCAAATCGGACCTCTAATCCTAGTTTTTGAGGAGTCTCCATACTAATTTCCACAGTGGTTGAACAATTCTACATCCCACCAACAATTTTTCCTCCATAGCCCTGCCAGCATTTGTTATGGGCTGATTCATGAAAGCCATTCTTTCTGGAGTGAGACGAACCTCAGTGTTGTCTTAATTTGCATCTCTTGAATGACCAGTGATACTGAACATTTTCATTTTTTTATTTTCCATTTGCATTTATTCATATGAGAAGTGTATTCATCTCAGGTGCCCATTTTTTGACTGGGTCTTTGAATTTGGGGTTGGTCTGAATGTTTTCAGTTCTTTATATATTCTAGGTAGAAGTCCTTTGTCTCAAGGGACAGTTAGCTAAAATTTTCTCCCACTCTGTGGGTTGTCTTTTCACTCTGTTGGTGATTTCTTTTGCTGTGCAAAAGCCTTTAATCAGATGAAATACCAGTTGTTGATTCTTTGAAGTACTTTCCGTGGGGTCTGGGTTTTGTTTATGAACTCTCTACCCACACCTATGTCTTCAAAACGTCTCCCTACTTTGTCTTCCAGTAGATTTAGTGTTTCCGTTTTAATATTCAGACCCTTCATCCATTTTGACTTTAGTTTAGTACATGGTGGTAGACATGTGTCTAAACTAGTTTTAGACACACGTCTTTTACAATGCACTAGGTCCAGGCTCACAGGATGGAACACAGTGTTGTCTGAAACATGTTCCTGCTTCTTCACAGAACTGCCAGGAGGCTGCAGAGGCTGTGAGACTGACAGGATCTGGCAGGGCAGGGAAGAGGAAGCTTCACTGAGACACCTTCATCCTGCTGCTGCTGGTTTCACAGTGTTTGTTACTGTCCTTGGCATTATTACAGTTCACTCCCGAAGGTGGTGCTCCTAATGCTGGTGCTGGCTTTCTTCTGCCTTTCTCCAGAAAGGCAGAAAAGTCAAGGCTGAGTTTTATCACCTCCCTGGTCAGGGTTGGTCCCAAATACAAGGGGCGATAAAATTTACAAGTTTCAAAGTCTGACTCTCAGCATAGTAAAGAATGAAGAATGGGTCCTTGAATTCCATCAGCAATAACCCCACTCAACAGACCTCTCAAAGTCTAATACCTATTGCCCCAAAGTTCCAATTCCCACACATAGATACAGGAACTTCACCTCACCAGCAGCATTTACTATTCTTCACAGGTATTTTGTTATAACAATTTAAAACAGACTAAGGCAAGCACAATACATGTACGAACTTAAGAGCAAATCAGAGGTGCCAGAATAAAGTGTCAGCATATCAGTCACTTCCCAATCACTGGAACAAAATACCTGACATCCACAATTTAAAGAGAGAATACTTCATTTTGGGTCAGTTTCAACTGGCTTAGTATGTGGTCTCCAACTCCAAGGCATCAACACCATAGAACAACACAATTTCACAGGAAAGCTGTTGAACTCTAGGCAGCCAGGAAACAGAGAAACAAAGTAGAAGGTGGGATCAAGAATACACCTTGTCAAGTCATCTTCCAATGACCCAACAAGTCGCACCTCCAAATGTGAGAATTTCAAGGGACCTTTTCCATCTAAACCATAGCAGGTGGTAACCATGTTTCTGCCAAGATAAATGACCCAATCTGAAGAGCAAATCTATATATGCTTATATCAAAGAATAAAGTTTCCATGATCTGTGGGACATCAGGATATTTAGCATAACACTAACTAGAATCTCAAAAGAAAAAGAGAAACAAATAAGGTAAAAATATAGAAGCAATAATAGTTGAAAAATTCTCCAATTCTACTTAAAAAAAAAAAAACTTAGAGATCCAAGAAGTTTGGCACATCTTGTGCAATATAAATACAGAGGAAACCAAACCAAAGCATATCATAATATAAAGCCAAGTACAATAGCTGAAGACAAGAATAAAAATGAAACTCTTAAAAGTAGCCACAGAAAAACATTATATATTAGATAAACATGCAAAGAAAAAATTTTTTGGATATGACTAATTGTTCAAATGAAAAAACAGAATTCACAGAACAATGGATTTATGTGTTTTCAGGTTAATGAAGCAACCTTCCTTTTCTCACTGGAATGATGTCAGAGTAAAACTTTCTCCACCACTCAGAGGTAACATGACCATCCATCCACAGTGTCACTCAAGACCGGATGGAGAACAATGAAAATGTACCCCTCAGTTCCAACCAGGGTAATATCAGTGGAGGCCTGGAAAGTCTGGGCTGCCATCCTGAACAAGGAGCCCCTCTTCCTTGTAGATGTCACAGGGGCTGTGGAAAGAACCAGGACTTCTACCCCTACCAAGCAATTATACTAAGATGCCATCCTTTATCCACCAGAGACTACAACACAGAAGTAAGAAAGCTCCAGATTCAAATTAGAAAATATCTACCTCTGTTTTAATTTTTTAAAAAAAAACATATCATTCTTAATGCCAACAAGATCTCCAAGTTAATGAAAAAAATACAATCAACAATATGACACCAAGATGGCGTTCTTGTTAGAAAGATCCAACAAGGATCTTAAAGCAGTCACCATAAAAACACTTTATCAAGCAATTATAAACATGCCTGAAAGTAATAAAAGCATAGGAAATTTCAGCAAAAAAAAAAATAGATTGAAGGACCAAATGAGAATATTAGAACAACCAAAAATAGAATAACAAAAGAAAAAAAAAAAAGAAAACTCAATGAATGGACTCAAAAGGAAAAAAATGAGTAAACTTAAAGAACAGAAATCACTCAACATAAACAGACAAGATAAAACAGACTGGAAAATGAACAGAGCCTCATAGACCTGTAAGATTAAGAAAAAACATCAAATTCAAGTCACTGGAATATCAAAAGAAAAAGAGGGACAAGGTAAGGCTGAGAAAAATACTGAAAGAAAGAAGGGATAAAAAAGACAACAGAGTTAAGAAGCTGAGTAAAATGCAAAAAGAATAAACCCAAAGAAACTCACCTGAAGTACGCCATAGTCTAACCTCTGAAAACTAAAAGACAGAAATAAATCTTGACAGCAGTCAAAGAAAAATGACACGTTACCAATGTGGGAAAATCAATTCTGATGATTGTGACTTTTTTCATTAGAAACTTTGGAGGCCTGTAGAACATGGTGTGATATTTCTAAGTGCTAAAATAAAATAACTATTCATTAGAAAATTTAAAATTATTCTTCAGTATCAGAAAAATAAAGAGATCTTCACACAAAGAAACTAAGAGAATTTGTTACTAGCAGAACTACTCTTAAGGAATGAATAAAAGAAGTTTTGTAAATAGACAATGACAAAAGAAAGGGCCAGGGATTTAGCTCAGAGGTGTAAGTGCCTGCCTGGCAAGGGCAAGGTCGTGAGTTCAAACCCCAGCAAACACACACACACACACACACAAAAACCAACCACATACACTAGAAAATGACAAGAGGAGGAATCTTAGAATATAAGGAAAGGAAGAACATAATAAGCAACATGATGAGTAAGTAAAGTGAAATTTTTTCCTTTTCTTGAGATTTATAAATTATGTTTGATGGTTACTCTAATGTTCTCAGTACATGAAGAGAGAATAATACATGTTATTACAAATGGGAAGAGAAAAGGAACAAGAGTGATATAAGTTTCTGTTTGTCACTCAAACTTATAAAACGTAGATACCAGTATATTTTTTAATTATGCACATAAATTTTACATAACAAATGTGTAAAAATAATATAATACCTACCACCTTCACCAAGAAAATCATACAAGAAATTACACTAGAAAATATTGCATATAAAGAAAAATAGAATTCAAAAAAAATGTTTAAGTAACCTAAATTTAGGCAGGATAACAAAGCAAACAAATGAAAAAGAGAGGAGGAAACACAGTAAATAAAATGACAGACAAGCCTTAACACATCAATAATTAATTACCTTAAGTGCAAGTGATCTCAGTATACCAATTAAAGTGCAGAATGGTAGAAAGGATTTAAAACATAAACAAATCATGAGAAACTGTAAGAAACTGTAAGAAACTTCCTTCAAATATAATGCAAAAGTTAGAAATAAAAGTAAAGAAAAAGGTCAAGGGGCTGGGGATTTAGCTCAGCGGCATAAGCACCTGCCTTGCAAGCAGGCAGTCGTGAGTTCGGTCCCCGGTACCGATAAAAACGAAAAAGACAAAAAAAAAAAAAAAAAAAAAAAAAAAAAAAAGGTCAAACAAATATTAGTAAAAAGGAATCATGATTCTCTGTATCACAAAGGTAAACCAGAAAAGAACATTCTTATTAACAGAGTAGGAAATTGTGTAAGTCCCTATCTTCCAGAAAGACATAGCAACCTTAAATATATACGCACCAAATAACATAACAGCAAAACATGAAGCAAAACCCAGTAGAACTGAAAGATGAAATGGACAAATCCACATAGTTGGAGGCTTCAGTACTGTTTTTACAACAACTAACTAACAGATAACTAAACAGAAAGTAAGGATACTCAAAAACACCATCAATGAACAGAATCTAATTGACAACTATAGAAACTCTATGCAGCATAACAAAACATACATTCTTTTCAAGTGCCTATAGAATATGTACCAAGACAAATCATATCCTTGACCATAAAACAAACCTGTCAGGATAAGCACACCAGTCATCCCAGCACTCTGGGAGGCTGAGGTAGGAGGACTGCAATTTCAAACTCAGCATAGGCAATGAAGAAACTTAGCAAGATCCTGCTCAATAAATAAATAAATAAATGTCAGGAAGTGTAGCTTAGTGGAATTCCAAAAATTCCACAGGGCAAAAAGGAAGTCTCAAGAGAAATTAAAAATAACTAAAACTGAATAGAAATGATTATATAACATATAAAATATTTAGGACATTGCTAAGTAGTATGTAGAGGGAAATTTATAGCACTATGTTTCTGAAAAACATCTAGAATAAAGAGAGTAAAATAAACCTAAAACAATCTGAAGAAAATAAATAGTAAAAATCAAAGCCAAAGCCAATGAGTTTGGAAACAAAACAATGGAGAAAAATCAATTAAACAAAAAACTATTTCAAAAGACCAATAAAATTGACCAATGATAACCTCTAGCAAGACTGACAAATACAAAAGGAGACTGAAACAAACTGCAAGTATCAGAAATAAAATGGGATTTCACTAAACATCCTGTGAACATCAAGAAATTAATAAGAATACTGCAGACAACCCTATATACATAGATTGGACAAGTTGAATAAAATGACTTGAATTCTTATTGCTTCTTAGCTTAGCTAAGATGAAATGTAAAATGAATCAAATCCTCAAAAAAACCCCAAAATTACTGTAACTCAATGTAAACCTGACAGTTTAAATCATCTTATACCTATTGAGGAAATCGATTTTCAGGTTGATATGCTGGGGGTCCACACACATTTTTTTTTTTACCGATGGAGATGTGAGATCAAAGCAAATCTAAAGACCCAGGGAGCTTTAGGGCTGACACGGCCTCCGTAGAGGAGGAGCATACCACGCTGGCTGCTGTGAGCACTGTACCTTCACAATGTGGGAATCCGATCTGTGACAAGATCTGTCTCAATGACAGTTTGTTGGCCTTCAGCCCATGTCGTTGCAGCCATTTCTCAGATGAAATGAGACTCTGCTCAGCTCCATCTTCCCCAGGCTTGCTCTGACCCTCCTGCCTCTGCAGCTGCTGCTCGGAGACGGGAGAACATGTGCCTGGTCTCTCCATCTCTGATTCTGGAGTCAGGGCCCACGGACTTCCTGTAAGGGCAATTGTCCACCTTAGACTTCACCAGAGCTTGGAAATAATCCAGCAGCAACAGAAGAGTAGTTTAATATAGAGGATGTCCATGAAATGGAATTTACTAACAACTTTTTACTAACAATTTACTAACAATGGAATTAACAACTTAAAGATGTCTATTCATTTCAGATGCCTTTTTACGCATTGGGTCTTTTCTCAGAAGAAGTACAAATGGCAAACAAATATATGGAAAACTTTTCAATGAAACAAAAAACAAAACAGACAGTCAAAAACAAAAATCTCTGACAAAGGACTAATATCTCGGACATATAAAGAACTGAAAAAAATCACACATCCCCAAATTCAAAGACCCAATCTGAAAATGGGCATCTGAGATGAATACACACTTCTCAGATGAAGAAGTACAAATGGCAAATAAATATATAAACAAAATCACTGGTCATTTGAGAGATGCAAATTAAAACAACACTGAGATTCCATCTCATCCCAGAGAGAATAGCCGTTGTCAAGAAATCAACCAATAACAAAAATGCTAGAGAGGCTGTGGGGAAAAAGGAGCCCTTCTCCACTGTTGGTGGGAGTGTAGGCTGGTGCAGCCAGTGTGGAAATCAGTGTGGAGATTCCTCAAAAAACTAGGACCTTGCTAGGTCTTAGGTCCATTGGACCTGGCTCTTCCCCTTCTTGGTGTCTTCCCAAAAGAATTAAAGGCATAGTATCACGGCGATACATGCACACACATGTGTATAGCCCCACAGATTGTAATAGCTCAGTCTTGGAAACAACCCAAATGCCCATCAACCAAGGAAGAGATTTTTAAAATGTTGGGTTTTTTTTTTTACAATGGAGCACTATCCATAAAAAGGATAAATAAGACATTTATTGGTAGATGGTTGGACCTTGAGACCATTCTCTTAAGAGAAATAAACTAGACACATGGAAATATAGCATTGCTTTCCTGGCATGAGAAACTGAAAGTGTACATAAGAACCAAAATATATAATAGATAACTGTGAAACAGAGAAAAACTGTTTAAAAAGAAAGGAGAATGGGGTGGAGAGAAGAAAACAGAGAAGACAAAAAAATTAGAAAAAGGATAAATTGGAAGCAAAGCTTTGTATGTAAGGAGGAAGACAGGGGCTGAACAGAGGGGAATGAGAGGGAAAAAGAGGAACTGAGACGCCGTGAGCAGGTACAAGGTCCCTGTGACAAATGTAGTCTTTATGTGTATTTAGATTGTACTAATAAATTTAATAACTCTAAAAAATTACAATACAGATGTATATTTGTTGGCAAGAAGATATCCAGTTATATTGCTGATGGGTATCCATAAAATTCAATATCCATAAAAGTCAGTATCTGTATGTTTGCACATACAGGAAAAATATTCAGAAAAATACTCACAAACAGGGTGCAGTAGTTTTCTCTACAGAGTAAAAGCATGTGCAACTCTGTCTTTTTTATTTTGTTTCAGTTTTCCTGTTATTTAAACATTGGTGAGATAGAATTTACCATTATAATGAGAAAAATACAAAGCTCTTCTGTTTTGGAAATAGATTCTCCCTAGAAGCAGTGCTGCACATTTGTATTCTAATCAGAATTCCACCTGACATCCAATAAAAATAAAGAACATAAAACTCTGACAGAGTCAGGCACAGTGGTGCACACCTGTAAACCTAGCCCTTGGGGAGGCTGAGGCAGGAGGGTGGAGAGTTTAGAGCCAACATGTCTCAGAATAAAATAAGAGGAGCTAGGGCTATAGCTTAGTGGGGGGGTGCTGAGAGCATGCATGAGGTTCTGGATTCAATCCCCGGTACTGATAGAAAGAAAAACACTTCCAGGAGATGTACATCTGGTCTGCAGAGAAAGCAGCTACCCAGGAGCTGGCAGCAGGTGGGTACCAGAGCACAGCTTGGCCCCACTGAATTGTTTTCTGACACTCAAATTAAAACTGGACTTAAGCATTCCCAGCTATTCTGGGATCAACTAAATTCAAGGCAAAATGAAACGTACCAAACTTGCGTGGCCCCGCCTAAATATAGCCACAGGGCACAAGGAGCTGCCAAATGTCATCAGTCCTGACCCACTTGCCACAGCGAGGCAGGGCCTGGTTACTCAGAGGAAGTGTAGAAAGCTCTGCTCACTTCTGTGTCCAGAGTGTGCCATGCATAGAAATTGGTTCCCTGTGCTGTCAAACTTTTCAACAATAAAAATACCCCATTTCCTCTTTCTAAAACTCCAATCACATTTTCTAAAAGTGTCAGTTTATGACATAGAAATGTAGCCAAACACAAAAGTCAGCTGGATGCAGCCAGGGGAGTTTTGTGAAAAGAAATGAGAAGAATTATGTTTAGCAAGCATGTGTTCTACATTAGAGCAGGTACAGCATGCATTTAATCCTTATAGGAGCCTTGGGAGGTAGGTACTATGCTGATTCCCAAGACGGAGAGGCTTAACTAGCTACACAGCTGGCAGGAGGTGCAGCTGATTCTAACCCAGAGTCCCTGTTCTTGCGTCAGCTCCCATTTGCTGGCCAGCCACTGGGCAGAGCCCTGCACATGCACTGCCCATGGATTCCTCATAATCATATAGGTTATGCCCTGTCACCACCCCACTCACATTTGAAGGATAGGAAACTTGGAGAATCTAAAAAACATATTCAAAAAGTTCTGCCAAGCCAGTAAATGGTAAAAGAGGAGGCAAAGCCATTTCTTAACCACCGCTGTTATGCTTAAAAAACTCCTGCTGGATCCTATGGGACAAGTTCACAACTGTGTTCCCCCAGTAGGGGAGTGTTGTAGTAGGGCCCCTGGGTCCTGAAGACAGAGACCACTAATCTTGATCCTCAGAGCTCAAGCTCTCCAGACCTTCCGGCTCATCGTCTTAGACTTGACTATAATGATTCTACCCCAAGTTTTATGTGAGTTTGCAATGTCCAGATATGTTGACTTCCAAAGGTAAACAAATTCATATTATAGTAGAGATCTCACTCTCCATCTTCAAGGCTAAACTTATGAATGTGCTACAGGATTACTTGGAGAACTTCACAGAAGAGTAGAGAAGTTTAGAACTAAAACTCAGCGTAAGCCTATTCTGCTACTTTAGGAAGTGACCCCACCTCTCTGTGATAGAAATACATCTGCACACCCTACCCCAAGGCTACGAGGAAGAACAAACAGGATGATACATGAGTTATGCCTGAATGACGACTTGTTATTTTGGAAAGAGCTGTGTACAGAGAACTTATCTCGCAGTCATTATCCTTTGGTAACTGTGTGTTGCTTCCTGATACCCACATCTCCTCCCAACACGTTTCTGTCCTCTTGAGCTAAGAAGTTTAGAATGAGTCACAGAAACAAGGGTAGACCAATATGCTTCAGCTTTCTTTTGAGGATCTGTCTGCTGAGTCTGTAACGGAAGTTCTTTTAAATTGTGTCATTTGTTCCTACATAAACAAGAAAGGAAGCACTCAGAAAGATTTCTGATGATTTCATCATTTCCAATTAGTCTTTCTTTTCCCCAAAAACACACTCATAGCCTGCATTCTTGCTGGAGGGAATTACATGTCTCAGGTTTAAAGGGGAGCACTTTGACATAAACTGCCCTAGTGGATTTTTCTGAGTGGATTTTGGGACCTTAAAAAGGAGTTTAGTAGAGTTCAGGTTTTGTTTTTATGCCAGGACATGTTCTTCCTAAAAAAAATTTTTTTTTACATTTTTAAATTTTAATTAAAGATTCTTGATCCCATACAAAAGGCAATAGAATTCCCCAGTTTATCTGGTCTGGTTCCTTTTCTGCTCTTATTAGGGTTTTTTGTTAATATTTTTTAAAATGTGACTGAACCAGGCATGGTGGTGCACACCTATAATCTGGGGGTACTCAGTGGGCTGAGACAAAAGGATCACAAGTTTGGTGCCAGCCTGGGCAATTTAATGAGAGCCTGCCTCAAAAACAAATAAACTAAATAAATAAGGACTGGGAAATAGCTCAGGGGTGAGCACTTGCCTTGCGTAGCTGAGGGCCGGGGTTTGATCCCCAGCACTGTGTGTGCGCGTGTGTGTAATTGGCTCTATTGAATTGGAGCCGCCTATATGATTCATGATGACTCAGATTTTAACTCTAGGGTTGTACAGCCTGAGAATACCTGTATTATCACAGGTGAAAGGATCTGGAAACTGGAACTTAGCCAGAGAAAACAAGGAAGGGAGGAGAGAAAGGGCATCTCCCTTCTAGTCAAGCAGGATAAAGAGGTATTCCTTCAGAGCAAGGACACCTGTCTCAAGCCAGAACCTGACAACGCGCACAGCCCCACTTGGTTCCCATGCGGAACTGACCTCCAGTGTAATATCGTGGCCTGCAGGGCCTGTGCCTAGAGCTGCCTCCGCCACTACACCCTAGTCAAGCCCAGCAGCTCCCAGCCTCTCCCTAGGAAAGCCCTAACTAACTTCTGCTCCGCAGCTTCATTACGCTGGTCTTTGACACTTCTGTCCTCTGGACTAGAAGGTTCAGTGACCTCGGTGACCAATTCCAAGCAGGCTCTCAGCAGGCACTTTGGATGAGTGTTGGGGTGAATTAAACTGATCACTTAGAACTCTGTGTACTGAGAGAAGACCAATTGTTTCTAAAGAAGGCAAATGATTCACAGTTCCCACAAAGCTAAGATCAGGAAACATCTATCTTTTAAGCACAGACATATAACTTGCTGGAAATAACCCTTCTGCTTACTTATTTATTACTACTATTATGAAGAATTTTCTCATGTGAAATTATAATAAACTGGAGAACGGACAACCTCAGCATCAGAAACACATTAGAGCACAGCCCTGAGCTGTGAAAGCTGTCCCAGGATTTTTATTAATATTTTTAAAAACGAGATTGGGCCAGGCACAGTGGTGCACGTGGAGCTGTGGGAAACAGAAAGTGACTTTCTAAAATGAAAGTCTGAGTAAAATCCAACATGTCTCAGAATAAAATAAGAGGAGCTTGGGCAAAGACAAAGATTATGTGCTCACCAAAGGTCCTGGCCACAGGAAGTGGGGGCTCCCTAGTCAGTCAGCCCTGTGCTGCTCTCTCCTAGGTCAACCAAGAGTGGCCCCACGGCTGACCTGGGGTGAGAGTCTTGTAGCAGTCCCCATGCCTAAGAGAAGTGGTCCTCTGTGGTCTGTGGTTGAGGAATAGTGCAAAACTGAATCCATTGATTCAGTCTAAATATTTGGTATGCTTTACTGACTGAAGGAGTTGCTTGCTTTGTTTTGTTTTGTTTGCAGTGCTGGGGATGAACCCCAGGGCTTCATGCCTACTAGGCAACTGTTCTACCTCTGAGCTACACCCCCAGCCCATACATTTGGTGAGCTTTGCGATCAACATCCAGATGTGGGAGTTTCTAAACAAAAAGAAAGAAATCATGGGCAGGTGGATACATCACATGACTTGGATTTTTCTGCAAGAAAGGAAACTGAAGTGGGGCTCCCTGATGGATTTAGTGCCATTCTTAGGATGGTCCCCGTTATTCAACCCTTATAAGCAAGGCCGGGCTGTGATCATCAGCTCCAAGGAGCTGGATATGGATTGTCCCACACTGAGAAATAGCACCAAGGAAAGAAAATCTGGGAAAAACTGAAGCCCTTTAGGCAGCAGATCATTGCTGAGAAGAAACGGAAAGTTCCTAAGAAGACTGAAGGAAAAACTCCACCCACGAGATGAAAACCGAACCTAACTATTGCTTTATGACCCTCCTAAACAGAGTCCGAAAAAGTCATACGATTGTGAAAGCCACGTGTGGGGGACCGGAAGCAGCCGTACACCTTGCTGGGACTGAAAGCTGTTGAAAGCCTTAGACAAGCAGGTGGCTTGGAGGGGGAGCTGACCATTCACATTTATCATTATTTCTTAAAAATCAGTTTTTCCTGGTTCTCGTATTTCTTCCAGCGTCCAAGCGGACTTCGTCATCGTATTACAGCTGCTATGGCACAGAGAGACACTAGAAGAGCTGATCCTCTGCCAGAGCAGCTGGAGCTCCTTCGAGATGAGCTACAGGTGAGGGTGGAGGGACCCAGGGGGCTAGGAGGGGACGGGAAGTCAACTCCTTCAGGCTTGGCTTGACCCTGCTACAGTTAAACAAGTCTGCCCACATTGCCGAGCTTTCCCGTACTGTCCTGCACCTATGAAGAGGGAGTGGAGTCCAGCTTGGAGATCATACGCGTCCAAAAGGCTCAACACACTGGACGTTCCGGCTATTGCGATGGTTGTGTCCCCACACTTACTAGGCAATCTGTCCAGAGCAAGGCAAGCTGGCTCCCGTTCAGCCGCGCCCCTGCCATCCTCCGGGGCCCGTCTGACCCGAGAGGGCAGACGAGGTAAGCATCCTGCCAGTGGATAAAGCAGTGATCCGCGTGGGCTAAGGGTTAGAGCTCCCAGCTAAGTGTTCCAGGCCTCCTCCTACATCTCTGTTGATGGTGCCCTCGCCGCGGTTGCTAGGACACAGCCACTCACGTTGCAGCTTGTGAACAAGCCCCGCCCACGGAGCGCGCCAAGCGGAGCGCTCTGAAGAGGGGTGGGGGCCGCAGGGGACCAAGTCCTGGGAAAGGCGCTGGATGCCAAAGGGAACAGGGAGGATGGCGTTGCCCCCCGTGCTCACCATCACTAGGAATATTAACAGTGGTGGATATTAATGAATTAATTTAAACAGATACACGGATGCCTCCTGCTAAGAAGCCCGGGTGCGAGCAGCTGGGCGGGCAGTGATGGACTTGGGTGGGGCCGAGACCTTGAGCTGCAGTTTTGCATCTTTGAAAGCAGGGACCAGTCTATTAGACATAAGTGTGACGCTTTCCATTCAGATTGATTTGTAGCCCTTATTTTCTTATTGCATTCTCAAGTAAGCCAAGGGCTCAAAATATGTCCTACAATTTTCAGGCACTAGCACCAAAAAAAAAAAAGACGCTCTTAATACACAAAATCTTTTAAATTCTTAATAAAAGATGCCACAGGCAGATACTGTTTTTAGTGTCTGGAATATGAATTCTGTTTTAGGTTTTAAAACTGAAGAAGTGACTAGGTCATTTGTAGGTTTTTGAATCAAAGCTCTAATAGAACATATTTAATAGCAGAACTAATTCTTTCTCCAACAAAAAAAAATCTATTTTGTTCACGGTGGTTTATTTTTCCTTGGTTCTTTTACTGCCCCTATAATTCAAAGAGTGCAGAAAGGTTTAGGCTCAGGTCCCAGGTCATTCTGTGGAGTAATTAGGTTGCACACCTTTGGCCTTGCAAATGGCATCTGCCATGCACACCACCAAAAAAAAAAAAAAGATTTGACAGTACTAAAGATTCTGTTCCAAAGGAGAGCAGTCTACCAGCCATGCCCACTTTTGCCAATGCCACATAATCACTCCTGCCTACACCCTGCCCTATAGCACTCCTTGGTCACCAAGGTGAGATCCAAACACTGCCAAATCCACAGCTCCCATAGGTCAAGCCAGGCGTGCCTACCCCACCCCCATCCCATCCGTGTCTTCTCCCTCCCCTGGGACACTTGCCACAGATGTGCAGAGCACTGCCGATGACTATTTCCACGCACTAGGTTTGTAAGGCCATAGACACACAGTCTTAGGGAAGCATTAATCAAGTGAGCACAAGGTTTAAGTCATTTTGAAGTCTTGCATAGCTGAGTTTAGCTCAGCTAGCCACAGGATGGATGACATCATCATTTGTTGAGTGGCATGCAATAGTAGAGATCACTTTGCATGCCTGTGATACAGCATTGTCCCAAGATTAAAAGGCTCATTTTGGGTTTTTTGTTTGTTTGTTTTTGTTTTTGTTTTTGTCTTTTTCCTTTTTACCGGTACCAGGGATCGAACTCACGACTGCCTGCTTGCAAAGCAGGCGCTTATGCCGCTGAGCTAAATCCCCAGCCCCTAAAAGGCTCATTTTGAATTTCCTTTCTTACAGATATTAGGTAGCTACTCTCGGGCTTGGTGGTTCACTTTTACCATACTTTTCCCATCCCTTAAATAACGCAGCATCTGAGCAGCTGAGATCAGTATTCAGAACCTACTCTATAATTTTAGCCTCTTTGCCTACTGCTCCCTCCATGTATTCCCGCAGCGCAGAGACTAACCGGGTCCCTGCCTCTGGCACAGGTGCTTTATCCAAGCACCGGATGCCACCACTGGGGAACACCCTGCCCCTGGGATCCTTCAGAGACGCTTTCCATGGACTTGTCCTCACTGCTCAGTTCCACCCTCTTGGCAACCACCTACTGTCTTGTGAAAGTCTTTATTGTTGTTCAGCCTTTGTCCTGTTTACTTTTCAGGCTGAATAACTTTTCTTTTTCTTCATACAAGCCTGCCCGTGGCACTGCTTAGGCCAATGACCGTGATTAAAATTTGTGGCAGGGAAAAAAATGCTGATAAATGAATGGAGAGGAGGAAAAGCAGTTTTCCTAAACCCGTTGCAAAGGCTGGAATCAGATGAAAAGGAGGCTGTTCACTGTGGGGCATCCCACATCTGTAGGAGAAACAGTCCCAGGTAGAGTGAAAATGGAGGCACTGTCTTGGGAGAAGTGGGGACAGATGTGAAGCAGCTGTATGTGATAGCTGTTCCTACTGGGCCCTCATAGGCCCTCTGGGTGAAGACAAATCATTGGGGTGAAGGGGGGCAGAGTCCAAACCAGAGATTTGCAATCACATGTCCTACAAACCCATCATCATCAGTTGAAACTATTGTAAGTCAAAAACGTATTTAATCTGCATATGCTGCACCAAGCAGCATAGCTGTAGTGTGGTTGTAGCGCCCTGTGATGACAAGGCCATCAGGGACCCAGCCCACAACCATTGCTGAGTATCACAAGCACCTCTTACCATGCGCCCTAGTCTGGAAAAAGAGGCAACAATGTGACGTTTGCAGTGCAGTCTCTACTGAATGCAGTTTGCTTTTGTACCATGGTGAAGCTGAAAAATATCTAAGTCTAACCATCATAAGCCAGAGACCACCTGTGCCCTGATGTTCTTGAGCTCCGAGTTTATTATTTGGGGAAAGAATCCAAGCTCCTGGCTCCCAGGCTAGTGGCTTTCATGGGGAACAGAGCTTTCAGGCACTAATTTTCTACCCTGGATGATAACCAGCTCATTTTTACCTGCTGAAATTATGGCTTAAAAATGCCTGCTAGAATTTATTGAGTGGCAGTGTTCTAAGTGCTATAAATATAATATTTCATTTAATATTTAGAAAAACCTCCATGAAGGAAGCATCCTTATTTTATAGTTAAGCAAAATGAGACATAAGATCAAGCAACTCAGGTACCCCGACTACCTCCTGGCCTCCTGGTTTTTGGCTCTGTGAATCGTCGGTTTCCATTTTATCCAAAGTGGAGTTTTGTCTTCTCAGTGGTATGGTGTCCTCTACGGCTGCATATTAACACCACAGCAAGGACCTCACTGAATGGGTTTTTGACAGGGCTTTTTTTTTTCTTTTAGTGTTGGAGATTGAGCCCAGGACATTGTGCGTGCTGGGCAGGTGCTCTACCTATAAACTCCATACTCAACTCTTTCTTTCTTTTTTAATTTTATTTTTATACATGATCTTGCTAAGTTGCACAGGCTTGGCTTTGAACTTGCTGTTCTCCTGCCTCAGCCACCTAAGTAGCTGTGATTGTGGGTGTGCACCAACACTCACAGATGTGGTCTCTTCTTGTAAGAGTGCTAATAATTATCATAAGAGTTCTGTTTTACAAAAGCTTTTGGCATAAACTATTACAAGCCCTAATGTGTAACAGCCTTTCTATTTAAGTAAGAAAATTTTAGTTCATGGCTTTAGATGAAGCTGGACTCTGTGTGTGTGTGCTTGTGTGTGTGTGTGTGTGTGTGTGTGTGTGTGTGTGTGTGCTTGTGTGCATGTTTCCCACTGTGTATATTCCACATGCAGCACATTGGGAAGCAGAATGCTTGCAGTCCTCCCTGTCTGTTCTCCAGAAGGTTAAGCCTTGGCTTAAACAGCAGGGAGCAATTTGCACTGCCCAGGCACTATCCTGAGCTCCTCAGCCCCTCCACCTAGTGCTGAGATCAGGTCATGGGACTTGCTCTGGCCAATGGGCTGTGGGGGCCAGAGATGGACCTCAGTCACTTTCACTTAAGCTACACTGAGTAGGATTCAGTTCTTCCCCATATTAACTGCAAGGGAGGCTGAGGTAGGTGATCTAGTTGTGTACCCAAGGAGAATGGGCAGCTGTTCTCTGCCACATGCTATGAACTGGACTTCCCTCAGCCTACCTACAAGATTACCTCATTCTGTGAACACGCTGGCCAGGCCATCAGCTTCCAAGGCTAGTGAGTTAGTGATATACAGGTGTTGGTCTAGCCAACTGAGATGTCCATTTATGTCAGACGTGTCCATTTTCAAACCCACTGAAGTAGGGTAATTTCATGAAATGTTTAAATTAGCAAAATATAAGTGTTAAAAGAGGGGGGATATTATGTCTATGAAATGTAGGTTGAATGCTTGGGAAATACCAGATGGAGGTGAGTCACTGTCTTAATTCATTTTTCTTGCTATAACAGTATATATGAGATAGAGTTATTTATAAAGAAAAGGGGTTGAATTTAGCATACAGTTCTGGAGTCAGAGAAGTTTAAGACCAGGTGGCTGCATCTGGCAAGAAGCTAGGACTGTGTCCAATGTGCTACATGTGGAATACACAGTGGGAAACACAGACACACAGTCCAACTTTAAACTGTAAACTAATGTGACAGAAGACACCACATAGCAGAGGCACCTGTAAGAGAAGCAAGCAGGAGCCAAGTAAAGCTGTGCTTACTTGATAACAAACCACTCTGATGGGAACTAATGTAATTCCACGACAGCAAGAACTCTTCATGAGAAAGGCACGAATCCGCTTGTGAGAGTTCCATCCCTGTGACCATCACCTCCCAGACTGCCACACGAGAGACCAACCCTCGGCGTGTGTTCTGGGGGGCACAAATCGTATCTGTGCGACAGCAGTCTGTAAATAGCAGTGCTATTGCATGAGGAGTACATGAGAAAATGGGGCAGAGGATGCGAAGTCACGGAACTCCATGAGTGTTCAGGTCTCTGATTATTTTGCACGTATCTATATGATCTACTTTCACCTTCCAGAAAATGAAACTAGACATCATTATTATCTGAGTGTCATTTTTGAAAGAGGAAAAACTCTGACCGGAGAGCAATTATTCAAAGAAAAAGGTCCAATGAAAGATAAGCTTCAGAAAAAGGTAAAATCATGACTTTCATTCAAATGTAAACGTGAACACATGTAACAGATTTTATTCAGTGCATTAAATGAAGGAGACAGGCAACTATTATAATCCTTCGAAGGAGAAGTCACAAAGAAGGATGAATTTTTACGGAGTAATGTTAAATTGAACAGACGCTCATGGCTTTTCCATGGGGAAGAAAACCAATCTCAAGAAGAGAGAATAATCTGTATGTCTGTCAGTTACCTAAAATGCACTGATTTGTAAAACTGCGTAGATTTGTAAAATTATCTCCACAGTATCTAAGTGATAAGGTAGAAAGCTACAACTGATGCTGTGTAGTTTTTCACCAAAGTACTAAATTTTTTGC